ACATCATGTTGTAAATTGAGGGCGTGTATTGGACCATCCTCGTTTCGACACTGAAGAATACAAAGAAGGATGGATAGTTTACGTGACCGGGGTCTACAAACCGTTGTGAGTAGGTGATATTAGGCTGCTTGGTGATCACCTGGATTTAGGATATGCTGTAGTCCAAGGAGAAGAGGAATGTGATGTATTCCTTACTCCTTAGGTGTGGCGTCGTACACCAGCCCCGGAGACAAAGCCTTCTATGGAACCACATGTCCCGACCCATGGGCCTATGGGGTTGGAAATTGCTCCACTGGCTACATTACGGAGAGGGGATTTGGTGTTCTTACGGGTGTAGGCGGTGGTCATAAGGGCCGACTTGATGGCACTGGGGCTCCAATTGGGGTGGGCCACCTTCAACAATGCAATGGAGTCTTCATCTTGTTGCTGGTCTTGCCACTGTTACCACTCTTTCTTCTTCCTGCGTTTCTATTGTTGTAGCTTCGACTTCTTCAATGGAGGTGAAGGAGTTGGACATGGAGCACCATTATCATCATCATTAGAAACAAGATTATTATGGTAACGGTGGGTTTGGGCTTAAAGAAGAGGGTTGTTAATGGTTTCTCCCAAGACCAGAGAGCGTACCAGCTTTAGTGGTGGAAGCATCTTCTTTTGCTTGATTTTGCATTTTTTTTTGGTCTCTTGAAAGATTCTCTTGCACTCTCTTATCGATTCTTTCTTCTCGTACCAGGAAGTTCATCAAAATTCCTCCTTTTTTTAGATTTTTTAAGGGGAAATTCTCGATTAATATCATGTACTCTGGGTCTAGTGTCATTTTGGTCCCCAAACTTTAAAATGTGATAATTTAGTATCTAAATTTTCAAAATGTGATAATACCTACCATTAACTAGTTGTTAACCAGCTGTTAAGTGATACTTTAAAAAGACACAAATGCCCTTCAAGTGTCATCTAATTTTCTTTATCAATTAGTTAAACATTGACAAAAAAATTAATAGTCCCAAATCCTTGCATCTTCTATTCAAGAAAGTTGAGATCACCAAAATGCCTACTTAACCCAAATTTTCTTAAATGGAAGAAGCAAGGATTTGTGACTGATAATTTTTTGTCAACATTTAGATGGTTGATAAAGAAAATTAAATAACACTTGAAGGACATTTGTATACTTTTCAAATATCACTTAACGACAGATTAACTACTGATTAATGACAAGTACTAAATTGTCACATTTTAAAAGTTCAAATATTGAATTATCGCATTTTAAAGTTGAGGGACCAAAGTGGCACTAGACACAAAATACAAAATGCTAATAAAGAACTTTTCCATTTTTTAACTGACAAAATAAAAATGAAAATATGGTATGAGTTTCAAATGCGAGGGCCATTGGCATCTGAGCGTCAATTCTGCTGCACTCGTTAGCTTAGCTGTCCGAATAGGATTGTAGGTGTGGAGACCCATATGGTTTTATCTACAATTTCTTCCACAATCAGCAATACAAATCCAGGTTGCTTCGATCTATACCAGTCATCAGCCAGAGGCCCAGGACGATCAGAGAAAGTGTTAAGTCGGTTGCTGAAGCTTCTAGTCGTAAGATCGAAAGAGGAAAGTAGTTTCTCTTTATTATTCCAATGGATTCAAAAATTTCATCAATTGATTTTATTTTGAAAATTCGAAAAATAGTGAATGGTAAATTTAATATTTTATTTTTGGGTAAATTTTTTTACGGTTATTATTGTTTATAACAATTGATTAACCTTACCCTTACCGAACATCCATTAATATCCCATCAAAACAAATATAAACGTGATAACATATGATGTTTAAAATTCTTTAAAAACCCAATATTATCACTCCCTCGTCCGTCCCCTTCTGTAGCGGCAAACCGAACCGGGATAACTAGTGGCGGGAATAACCCCATCCACCTTCGGCCCCTCGTCATCGTTGCAACTTTTGCTCGTATACTAAAAAACCCGCCGAAGGTGTGGTCTCTCACTGAAATATAGCCCTCGTCATCGTTGGCTTTTCAGATTAAAACTCTTGTTTTTTTTTTTTTTTTGGTAATCAATATTAGAACCTCATTAAGGAGGTTGAAAATGAAGGCTGTGTTTCCCGGTAACAGATGACAACTCCACACGGTCACACACACAAACATCTAGATGTCAAAAATAAGTCTGAAAGTGAGCTGTGTGTGAGCATCTCACTGTACAAAATTTCTAGAATCCGACCCGGATTCATTGTCTTCTTAACCCGTTTTCGCTACAGTTTTTGTTCGACGCAGCAACTATAGTAGCGAAACAGGGTACCTTTTCTGGGATTTTCCCACTGGAAAACAATGATCGGTTCCTGAAACTACGCCAGCGACCATGATTTCTGTAAAAATCAACGTTGGCAACCAATATTTGTATAAAACCTGACCCACCCACAATCTTTGTTTTTTGACGGCATTGTTTATGTAAAAATCGACTTTGGCGGATTTTGACTGCACAAAAACACGTAGATAACCAGCGCTATGCTTCTTCTGCTGAATGCTCATCAAACCTAGCAAAACAAGACTCCACGTCCGCTCGCGCAACCCAAGAACAAAATAATTAACACTCCACCGACCTGGTCAGCTCGGCGAAGCAAAGAGCCTTTAAAATCTTAGAGAAAGAACGGCGGGGATTGACTGGCACAACCAACCAGTTCCCTGTGAGACCAGAGGATTCAGACGGATTCCCAGCCAGCCCGTCTTAGCACGACAACGCGCTCTTTGCGTGCACTAGCCAATGAACGAGACAGGCAGTGCGCCACCTTACATAACTAGCCTAAATGAATGTCCGCCACTGTCAGTAGTATGGGAACTGAATCCAGTTCCATCACCGAACAAAGGAGAAGCAAGTCCTGATAGTCGAAATATAGAACAAATTAAATGGTGACACCCTGCTAACTACAGAGATACTTGATCTGCATGGGGATATTTTTGCAAGTGAATCTCTTCTCATAATGGAAGATCAAAAAAGACGAATGGAAGCACTTCTGGAAAGATTAAAAAACTCGCATTTTTTTGTTAGAATCACAGAATCAGATGAGCCATTTTGGTAAGAAAGAAGTGCATCAAGATCCTCTTCTGAATCATCTGAGATGGTTGGAGAAAAGTTAACTATACTGTGATTTTTCTATCTTTCCTACTCCTCTGTTCTGCTCACTCGTTCTGAAACTCCACTGCAGCCACTGCGACTTACGGTATCGGCCAACCATCACTCTCTCCCCTCTTCCTCATTCTCTTCCCTCTTATTCCCTCTCTATCACTCTCTTTGCTTACTCTCTCCCCTAGTTGGACCGGTTCTCCTCTGTAACCGGGGAACAAAGGTAGAGGATGAGTTGAAACGTCACCAACAAGAAGGAGAGGAATAAGAAGAAAGAGAAAGAGGAGGGAAGAGGAAAGAGGAAAGAGAGAGAGAAACGGGATGAAGGAGAGGCAGGAGAAAATGATAAAAAGAGACCGAAGGAGAAGGTAGGGACTGGCGGAATAGGACAGTGAACCGTTGTCTTATAGCATCACGTGACCGACAGAATATCCGGTGGAAAAAACCAAAACATTCAACCTCTCTCTCTCTCTCTCTTGCTCTCTCTCTTCACCCCCTATATTCCCGCCACCGCCTTGCAGTTGTTGCAGCGACAACTCTCTCCCCTCCTGTCTTCTCTCGCTCCCCCCTCTCTCTCTCTTTCTCTCCTTCCCTCTCTTCTCTCACTCTCTCTCTCTCCCCTGTATTCCCATCGTTGTTGTCTTCTCTCTCCCCCCTATGGTGGTTCGGTACTTCGGTGAACAATAATAATGGTTTTATTAATTTATTAATTATAAAATATTTTTTATTAAACATTAATTATTCTTTATTAAATTTACTTGTGTTATTTATTAATTATTTTTATTAACTAATAATTTTTAATTATTTCATTGATTTTTAAAAATTATTTTAACTTTTATTTGTATAAATTATTAATTATTTTAATATTTTTATAATCATTATTTATTTTTTTTAATTTTAATTGTTTCATTTATTAATTAGTAATTATTAATTTATTATTTTTTATTTATATTGTTTCAATATTATTTTGAGGTTGAAAATTATTTTTTATGAGATAATGTAAATTGAATTCAAAATTTTTAAATTATATATTTTAGGGGTAAAATAGTAAAATTAATAAATTTCAAATGGTAAAGGGTTGATCCTACACAAACAAACTCATGGATTCAGATCTTCTAAAAGTAAAAAAGCAACTATACTTCTTTTCAGATTTCAAACACATTTAATATCTTTTTAATTTTTTAGATATGAATTTTCAGATTTATCAAACGCCACCTTAATCAATTCTCAAGAGTAGCGTTAGTCAATTTTCAAACACTTTATTTTTTTTTTTTATGAATCCTTTAACGGTAATGTCAATTGCCACTTGGGATAGTACACAGTAAAGGTAGAGTTATTACCTTAGGACTGCTTTAAAAAAATTGTCAAGTATTCTACTCTACTCTTCATTGGTCAGTATTAAGGTTGCAACTTGTGTCGGGTTGGCTTGAACCCAACCTGAAAAAGTTGGGTTGGATTGATGTTCGGGTTAGGGTTAGGATTAGGGTTGAAATTCATGAACCCGACTTTACTTCGGGTTGGGTTAGGGTTGACCCCTTAGCCAACCCAACCCAACCCGAATCCGACTCTATAGTATATGTTATATGTAACATACATTGATTTATTTAGATGCATAATATTTGTATAGCCCCCACCATATAGTATCATGTATTGAGTTAGGATTGGGTTAATCGAGTTGAAGGCCATATTAGATTAGGGTTTAAAACTTTGAATTGAGTTAGGATTGGCCTCAACCCGACTCTTCCATTCGTTTCTTACCTCGCTACGAAACAAATACCTTATTAAATAAAAACAAAAATAACAAATATCCCTGTACTCCAGCTTGTAATTGGATGTGGAACAGTGAAACCTTGTTCTGAATGACAAATTTGGTGGGTTTTACCCGGAACTGATTGGTAGGAGTAGGACCCATATATAATGCAGAGCCTTGTTTTATATGGTAGTACAGAAAACTATCGTGGTTGGAAGGAAGACTCAAATGATCAGAAGCTTTTGTTGCTAAATTTCAATGAGAAGTGGAGGAGAAGTAAAAGGAGGGAAGATCTGAATGGGTTTCTCGGCAGATAATCTGAAAGGATTTGTCTTGGCTCTTCTCTCAAGTGGGTTTATAGGGGCAAGTTTTATAATTAAAAAGAAAGGTCTTAGACGTGCTGCAGCTGCTTCTGGAGTTCGAGCGGGTGGGTTCATTTGATGCAATGCTTTGGTGAGTTATTGATTTTCTGACATGGGTTTCTGTTGATTCTTTGTTTTTTTTTCCTATTTTCCTTTTTTCCGGTGTAGGAGTTGGTGGCTATTCGTATCTTTTCGAGCCTCTGTGGTGGGCAGGCATGATCACAAGTAACTTTCTTTTTTCTTTTTATACCTTTTGTGCACAAACTATTAAATTTTGTTTCTGCTTCATTTTTTTCCTATGGCTTTCCTCTTATTTGTGATTCATAGATTATGGTGTTAAATTATGTATTTTTTAGGCTTTTAACTTACTTTTTGAATTGAGTACGGATTATAGTTATTTCAAGAAAATGTTATGAGTTTCCGTTCGTGGTATTAGAGATGCATTATTTTCTATGGATTTTGCAGGTTTAATTTTGTGTTCACTGTATATATTTAAGTTAATCATTTTCTTATGAGTGTTTGGAAATTTAACTTCATTTAGTATCCTTGTGTCTAGATTGATGCAAAAAAGCGGTAGTTTGTTTTAGATGTTAATGGGAATACATGCTTATGTTTTTAGTAAGATTGGATGCGACTCTGGCTATGTTTTTAGTGAGTGCAAAGTTCTCTTAGTTTGAATTTGTAGGTTGGTCTTTTTTTTCCTATTTTTTTTCATGGTTGGTGTATTCAGAAACCAAACTATTGTTCAGCATTCTCTTCGTTTCTCTTACTGAATGTCTGCAATTATAATACTTTTTTCCCATCTCTTGCTGGATTAGTGATCGTGGGAGAAGTTGCAAATTTTGTTGCATATGCATTTGCTCCAGCTGTTCTTGTTACCCCCCTTGGTGCCTTAAGTATAATTGTCAGGTAATCACCGTCCTTGTGTTCTATCTTTATTTCAGTGTTCACTCAATATTTTCTGTGTAAGAGGGAATTTCAGTGACTATTTATGGTGGTTTGGATGTCATGGACTAGTGCTGTGTTGGCTCATTTTATCTTGAAGGAGAGATTACACAAACTGGGAATCTTGGGCTGTGTGATGTGCATTGCTGGTTCAGTTGTAATTGTTATCCATGCACCTCAAGAGCACCTAATTACTTCTGTTCAAGAAATTTGGAGTTTGGCAACTCAAACAGGTGTGAGGCTTCTCTTATTATTTTCATATTCCTTATACATGATTTGACTACTCTGTTAATGGCTAAATCCTTGTATTTCTGTTTTCTTTTCTGTTTATGTTTCAGCATTTTTGCTTTACGTGGCATCAGTAATTGTGCTGGTTTTTGTTCTAGTCTTTCATTTTGCACCACGATATGGGAATACAAATGTACTAGTTTTCACGGGCATCTGTTCTTTGATGGGCTCCCTTTCGGTAAGCTAGTTAAGTTGCTTGTGCTTTTCTAGTTTGGAGACTTTGATCTGACCTGACACTCCAATGTTCTTGGGGGCATCCATAAACTTGTTAAAGGCTTGGGTGAGATTACTAGAGTGTAGTGATTGACTAAAATGTTTCATTTACAAATTACCCAAATATACATAACCTTCGGATTCTCTAGCTATTCCATATGACTATGCTTGATCTTTGCTTCACTCATTAGCTTGTGATTGAAAAACCAAAAAATCCTTGCTTACCTAGTTAGGATTTAAAAGCTAAAAGGAAATTATTAAAGTTACATATAAATTGCAATTTTTATCCACTGAGTATTGATTTACTATGCAGGTAATGAGTGTTAAAGCCATTGGAACTTCCCTGAAATTGACCTTTGAGGGTAACAATCAATTGGTCTACCCAGAAACATGGTTCTTTATGTTGGTAGTGGTTACCTGTGTTGTCACACAAATGAATTACCTCAACAAGGTTAGTTATGGGCTACTGTTGTTTACTATGATAATGCTTAAAATAATGCTGTTTTCTCTTGTGAAGTTGTTACATTCAAAAAGCTATCCCAGCTAGGGTCTAGGGACAAAATGTTTTCTTACTTATGTGATAAAAACCAAACACTTGTGAACCATCATGAATATATGCATCATTGTTCAAGATATAATAATTGTAAAAAATGACAAGCTCGATAATTTCCCAATCTTCTGATTTTGTTTGATGTTCTCTGCCTCTTTAATGCACTTTAGGATGCGTTTGGTTGTGATAAAATGCAAAAATGTACGTTACATAAGTGTTTTAGAATGGTTTAGTTGTGTGCAAACTGGGACTAAATTTCAAGACCCAATGGATTCATTTTGTTTGGACATGAACAATACAAATTTGAATGCAAACTTGTGAGTGTTTGGTTGTTTAAATTGAAGAAAATGCAACTTGCACATTTACCAAGGACACTCTCACCATTTTCTCTGTTTAAAACCAAAATAAGAATCCATTCCATTAAAAACCCTGCAACTTCATTAAAACCAGAAGAAGATTGAACTCCAATAAAAATAAAGAAGATGATTGAACTCTTACTGAGTTGGTTTTGCTTCCCCTATTAAGAAACACATCTAACTATGAAACTCATTTGAAATCTACTAAATTAGACAAAGGTTTCACTAACCTATGAAATCAGAACGCAAATCTGCCATATTTCACAGTAGGAGAGAGAGTAAAATCTCCAGGTTCAAACTTACTTTGTGACCTCTCTGTAAACTGATGTTCTCTGTCCAAATGTATCTGTTACCTTTCATAGTAGGAGAGTGAAATCTCCATGTTTAGACTTACCTTATGACCCCACTGTAAACCGATGTCCTCTGTCCAAATGTATCTGTTACCTTTCACACTAGGAGAGAATGGAATCTTCACGTTTAGACTTATGTTATGACCCCTCTGTAGACTGATTCTCTGTTTAGATGTATCTGTTACCTTCAAGAGAGTGAAATCTCCAAGATCAAATGTATTTGTTACCTCATACCATCAACTAGCCCCCTGTTTCAAGTGAGTATGCAGGGAACTCTCTTAACTGAGTCTCATTTATTGAAGTGGAACCTTCAATCTCTGAACCAGAATTAACCGAATAAATGAATCCTTTTACCCTTTTCAAAACCATCTCTTTAGATGCTCGTTTGTTATACAAAACTCTGTAATTTCATTCGCTCCATACTGTCCACACTATATCCATAAGAACCAGCCTCCAAACCACCCTACCCTTTTTGTTCACTTAAGAAGATACCATACATTAAACATTCCAGTAGACTAAAGAACCAATCCACTCCAAAAATAGCCACAATGAAACTCTGCGCCTGGTTGCAAACTGTAGTGAAGGAAGAAATGGTTGCTTGCCTTCTCTTCCATTCCATAAGAAACACATGTTGTATCTTAGATGTTCATGCCCATATGAAGTAGCTAATCTTTGGTCAGAGAACAGCAGTCCATGCCAGAAAGGAGACCTTTAATGAGGGCTTGTATTTCCAAATGCATTTACTAGAGAAAGCATAACCTTTCCAAGAGATTAATTTCTAAAAAAGGACCACATAGTGAAGCTTAGAGATGTGTCCCAGGCCCAAAGTCTTTGGAGGAGGGATTAGTAACTCTAATATTACTAGTAATAATAATAATTTATCAAAAAAAAATACTAAAAATAATATGCACTTTCACAAAATTAGAGTTTTGGAAGTGAAGGAGGTGTTAGATAAGATGAAGAAGGGAAAAGACATTAGGACTTGTTGGTATCTCGCTAGAAGTTTGGTATGGTACGGGAGAGCTTGGCCTATCATGGCTAGCTAAAGCTGCTAAACTATTTAATAAGATAATGAAAACAAATAAGGTGCCAGATGAATGGAGAAAGAACACTGATGGTTGTATTTACAAATATACATAATTGTAACAATTATCATGGGATTAAGCTCATCGGCAACACTATGAAACTTTATGAGGGAGTAATTGAGCAAAGGTTATGGCATGAAACAAGTATATCAAGAAACCACTTTGGTTCTATGACTAGGAGATCAATCATGCAGGCTATCCTTCTATTGAGATGATTGACAGAAAAGTTTAGAAAGAAGAGAAAATATCCTTGTTGTTAGGAATGTTATTAGGGCTGTTATTGGGCCGTTAGTGGGTTGTTGGTGGGCCTGTTTATGTGTTTTTTCTGTTAAGTTGCAATCAGGGGTATTCTTGTAATATCCTCTTTTTATTTGATCACCCTAATATATAAGCCAAGTGGGCCACCGCCCCTACTATCTTTTGGTAAACTCTCTTCTCTTCTATGCTCTATTTCTCTCTTCTCTTCTTCCATTCCAGATGGTATCAGAGCAGGTTTGACAGCAGATTGGTGCTCGTGTGGATCTTTCTTCCTCTTTTTTCTTTTGGTTTTCTCTGGAAAGGATTGTAAGTTTTAACACTTCAAATCTGAGAAGGAGCTGATTGGGCAAGGGATTTTGTACTGTTTTTCCCCATTTGGTTGTGGAACCAAAAGGGTCATTGTTTGGGTGTCTCCCTTGTATCCTGTGATGGAGGTTTGAGTGTGAGGAGAGGTGTCTCTCTTTGTTCTCCATGGTTGTGTGGTCTGAGGTCCAGTCGGCTGAGTGGTAAGCCTAGTTTCTTGGATCTCTCATTTCAGGTCCGTGTTTTCTTCAGCTGTACTGTTTGTTGTTTTTTTTTTTTTGCTGGATGTTCTTTGTTTTACTTGGAAGTTCAAGACTGTAGCAGTGTTTAACCTGTGAAGTTTGGATGAAGGTTTTTTCCTCTTGTTTCTAACTTGGGGTGTTTAAAAGTGTTTTATTATGTTACCTACTTCTTGTGAAAGGAGTTTGGAGCATTTCTTTGCTGCTTACAGTGGACTTTAAACTGGAAAACAGACCGGATTTCTTTGGTTGTTAGTGTTGTTCCTTTCTTCCTGGTATAAGTTGCTTGTGGGTTGTAATATTTACTGTGTGCAAACAATGTCAACTGATGATTCAGCCATATCTGAAGTCATTGGAGGTCAGAATATGGTTAGTCCAGGGGCTAAAAACTGGGGTTTCCCTGTTGCGATTTCAATCCTTGATGGACTGAATTATTTGGAGTGGTCCAGAAGTGTTAAATTGTATGTTGTGTCTAGAGGAAAGCTTGGGTACTTGTCCGGTGATATCCCTCAACCCAAAGAGGCTGGTGCAGCCCATTATAAGTGGGTTCAAGAAAATTATTTGATCATGTCATGTCTTGTAACTTCTATTCACCTCAGTCTGAGAAAGAATTTTATGTAGGGTGAAACTGCAAAGGAGATTTTGGACCAGGCTAAGGCTGTTTTTTTCTGAGCAGGGGCACTATGCTTGTACTTATCAGCTATAAGTTGAGTCCTCCAATTGTAAACAAGGGGAGAAAAGGCTGTCAGGTTATTATTCATCTCTTACCTCCATGAGGAGGGAACTTGATCATTACCAAAGTGTTGACCGGAAGAATGAATCAGATGCAAGAGAGTACAAAAGGCTTGTAAATCAGTAGCAAGTGTTTGCCTTCTTAGTAGGTCTTAACCCTTGTTATGAGCCCATATGGATTTAGATTTTAGGGAGCAAAGAACTGCCATCACTTCAAGAAGTATACTCATTAGTTCAGTCTGAGGAGAGTAGGAGCATAGCCATGAATCCTCTAGAGGGAGCAACAAGTTGATCTTTTTACCAAGGGAAGTGGTGCAAATAAAAAAGGTGGTGTAGGGATGAAGAATAAGTTAAGATGTATTCACTATGATAGAGCCAGACACTAGGGGTGTCCATGAAAAACCGAAAAACCGAACCGATCGGTTCGGTTTCGCTTCGGGATTTTGAAAAAACGAAGGACCGGTTCAGTTTTTGGTTAACCTACAAAAAAACCGACTGGTATATATATTTATATGTATATTTTATATATATTTTTAATATATGTCACATATTTTCTATGTATATAAATATATTCATTATATATAAATATATACTTATATTATATTTATAATAATCTATTTATAAATATATTATATATATTATATATTTTTATAATTTTTATAATATATTATATATCATTTATTATTTATAATATATTATAAATATAAAAAACCGAAAAACCAAAGAATCAAACCGGTCAAAAACTGAAATCGGCGGACCGGTTAATCAGTGGTATCGGTTCGGTTTTGGTTTGGAGAAAAGGAAAAACCGATACCACCGGTTCGGTTTACAAAAAAGGGCCATGGTTCGGTTAACCGAACCGTGGACACCCCTACCAGACACACTAAAGAGACATGTTGGGATCTTTTTGGGAAGTTGAAGAATTTTTAGTCCTTCTAGAAGAAGCAACCACAATATTCTGGGAAGAGTTCTAGCTCGACTAATGTTGTTTTTGGTGGTTCATCTCAAGAGGGTCTCTATAGGTTTTATCCATAAGGAGGAATTATCGAATACCTTATGTGATCAATTGGAAAAATATGGTAGGACTCTATGTCAACTTGAGGAGACTCCTATAACTCCTACCTCACGGTCCTCACATGTGTCCACTTTAGGTAAATAGGCCTTTGCATTTCATGTGTCTACTTCATCCTCTAACCCTTGGATCATTGATTCTAGGGCAACCAACCATATGATTGTTAAGCCTAATTTGTTTTTAGCATATTGTTTACTTTCTGGTAGAGACAAAGTTAGGCTAGATGATGGTTCACACACTACCATTTCTGGCCAAGGTGTAGTGCCCTTACAAAATGGGGTTCTTCATTCAGTATATCATGTTCCCAAATTTCCTACCAATCGTTTGTCCATTAATTGCATTACTTGATGCTTGAATTGCAGTGTAACCTTTTTTTCTAATTTATGTGTTTTCTAGGATTTGACTTATGGGAGAACAATTGGTAATGGTCATGTGGTTGATGGTCTCTACATTTTGGATGATGTAGCTCTAGAGTCAAGAAATACAACAAGTTTTGTGAGTTAGTC